CTCCATCCAAAGGTTGTCTATCAGAGATCGCTTTTAGTGCTAAGGCCTTCTATTTTTTCTCACTGTAGTCATTTCTTGTAATTATTTGTATCTATAATAAATTTACTACTCTAATCTTTTAGAGGAAACAATAAAGAGTCTCTATCTACCTATAACTTCCTATTCAAAAAGTATAACTTTCTTAAGAAGCGAAACGACTTTTATTTATGCCAAATAAAAAGTTAAAGCTTTTGAAAGAAAGAAAATGAATTAAAGCCAGAAGTTTACTGTTCAGCACTGTGCGTGCTTAACTTTTTTAAAGAAATGTCACGCTGTAATCGACGTTATATCTTGATATACAATTTAACTTTTGATATGAATGTTACTGAGGTTTTATTAATGATGTCAGCATATTTATATTATATTACCTATATACATTTGTTCATACTTCAATACAGCAGTTATAAATCATAATTTAATTTATAATTAAAGATTGCATCCCACAAAAAACAGACTTCAGTTGGGAGAAAACCAATTATTTTGATTTAAAAACTAAACTTAGTTTAATTTAGTATTGTTTAATTTGAGATTGTTTAATTTTGTTTTTTCTTCACTTGTATTATATTTGTGCAAACTTTAGTGGCTGCCAAATTACTATTTAAGTATTATTCTAGCTGTTTTTTTTGCCTTAAATAAATAAATAAACTACCAATTTTTGAGTTTATCCATTTCGATTGAACAATATTTTTTCGAATCGATTTAGAAGTAACGTAGTTATTGGATAACAAACATAAATTAAAAAATACAACCGAATTGAGGACCTTCTTCTGTCGTGTCGGCAATGTGCACATAGTAGCCCTTGTAGACATTTATAGGCTACAGTAACTGCTTATTTAGATAACTAGTATGCTTATTTGCCATTTCAGTGGTATAAAAAGAATAATCTATTCCATTAATCTACTTTATTATATTATTTTTGTTTTAGGATCTATCTGTCTGTCTACTTATCTATTATATATTAAATATTAACTTTAAATTACTTCTAAAAGAAGGAGGCCTTTAATTGATTTAATTTGCATTTTGTGACAATACTACAAAATTTTGTTGTCAACATTAACCATTTTTCTTGGCGGACCACAAAACAATGCTTATTATAAACAAAATTCAACTTAAAAATACGCGATTCCGTCTTCTAATCTTACTAATATAATAAAATTGTAAATGAACAAAGCCTGTACGAGGGGTCTTAATAAGAGCAACAGATGCTATAACATATTTTTTTTTAATTTTGCCTATCTGTATGTTAGTTCCGGCATCACACAAAAACTACTATACCAAATTGGATTTTATTCCAATCAGTGAAAATACGACCGATCAAACGGACAAAGTCGAGAGTAAAACACTAGTGACTGACAAGTCTACGGTCAATTGATCATGCCTATTTTATTCTCAAGCTTAATTAAATACAATAAGTCACGTATTTTTTTAAAGCGAACAATTAATTACCTTCGTAAACAAAGAAAAAAAATGTAGACTAATTGGAACAAGAACAAGTTATGTTTATTACAAACGTCACTACTAAATATTACACCTATAAAGTTTGCAGCTGGGTGCAAATTATACGGTGAAGAATCAAGATTAATTAACGAAAATTCGTGTTTCTCCCTTACTCGTACTACTGTAATCTTTTGGAGGAAACAGTAAAGAATATTTATCTATGTATCTCTCTATCTCTCTTGTAAATCTAAACAATGGGGTCGAATCCGTGGTGCCATAAACTGTGCGCTTTAAACCATATCTAAAATTAAAATTTCAATTTGATGTCACAGTGAATTTTAATTCTAAGAACTTATATAAACTAAATTCGTAAAATATTTAAGTAAAATTATTAGAAATTATTTTGTGATGGTCCATTAAATTCTTTGTTAATTAAATTCGTGAAAATAAAATATTAGGTTAAGATATAATGTAGAAAAAAGTTTATAGAAATAAATTTAGAGAAAACTTCCTTCGAAATTGGCTCAATGTTATTGTACTTGTTTAAATTTGAACTTTAAATATTAATACTTTGTAATTGTTTTCAAAAAGAAAGGTCGAAGAAAGGAGCAAAATTCCAACCGATTTTTTTTATTATGTATATGTTATATATATAATTTCTGCGGAAAATTATTTTTATGCTTATTGACCCATATTTTTTCCGCTTTTATTTAAATTATTCTTTAAGCTTTTAAAAAATAATAATTTATAAATCTGTGTATGGCATATGGTTACCAGAGAGATGAATTGAAAATCAAATTGGTACTTCAGTTTGTAACAATCATTACTCATCCTTAACCTTACTGAAGTGTTATTAATATTCCCACATATTGAATTCTAGTCTAATACTCGAATCCCTATTATAATATACCTATATGAGAATGACATATGAAAACCAGTCGCATATATAAGTGGTAAACCAAAAAACAATAGACACTGAGAAACCAACATAGAAATATTAACAAACTGGTAGAAAACGCTTTTGGATGATAGGTCCAGGTATTATAATTATGTTTTGTGCATCAAAGTTTAAATATATTAAATAATTTTATAATTAGCAATACTATTACGTTCTATCGCAAAAACGTTAAATTTGCGATAAACAGGTGTTTAATAAAAATTTAAGGAAAAGGATATTTATTTCTTTAAGTAAACTTGATTACAATAATTTTTGAATAGTTATATTTTTGTGATTCTATAGCTTATTCGGAATGTGACTTCAGATGAGAAGACCTGGCAAGAAGTAGTGTTGCTTTTTTCAACATAAGTTGATTTTACAATTATAGATTTATAATTATAGATAGAGATAACACAAGAGTTTTTTACATTATAAGAAAAATTACCAGACCTTCGTCAGATTTTTGAACGATTTTATTCTTTTTAATCGATACAGTTTCCTCCTATGTTGTTTGTATATAAATTTCATTTTGTTTTTTTTTTTTTGTGAAACATTAATTGCATATTTAATGAAATCACCAAATCACAAAATGACCAATCCACAAAAACATAAAGTTGTAACAATATATCCAAAGTAAAGAAATGTAACATACCTACGTTATACATATTTGACGAAATTTTACGACGCTTTTTACGTGTCGAAGTATAAAAGATTATTGCTGTAGATTAAATAAACTGCACGTATTACGAGCGGATATGTAATCAAAGCAAAAACTGTTAAGTCAATATACATTTATATGTGTACTAACTGACCCGGCAAACATCGTTTTGCCCTCCTCCGCCAACTACCGGATCCAATTTTTTTATATCGAAATAAAAACTATTCTACGTCTTAAGATGAAACACTTGAGTGATTCCGGATAAATATATTATACTACTGTTTACTGACCAGGTTAAAAAGTAGCCTATATCCTTTTCTATCTTATATAGTGCGTGTATATCAAATTTCAGTAATTGGTCAAACTGTTAAAGCATTATGTGGCAAACCATCAAACTTACTTTCACATTTATAATATTAGTAAGAATAGGGAATCATATAAGGAAGCTTAAAGAATGAATTATACTTATGATACAATGTAAAACGGATGGTTAAGTAATCAAAAGTGGTAATAGGTTATCAACATCAGAAACTGATGGAGAAAACATATTCTCAACTGGCTTTCCTGTAACAGCAAACGCAATATGAGTGATACCCACGTGATGCAGAGACGACCACGAAAATGTTTGGATCTCAAATCTTCCGTTTTGTATCCTATACCATATATATTGTATTATAATTCATTGGCTTGCCAGTTTGTGCCTAATGGGGACTAAGTAATAGTAAAACAACAAATGCTTAGTCATGTTTCCATTGGTTGCTTTTGTAGCAAAGTGCGATATCGTGACGATTATCGTTACGATAAAATCGTGTAGTAAGAAAGGAAAATGTATGAAGTAGGTGTATGAAGACGCTTTTATTTTTCAGTGCACGTTCACGATATCGTTATGGCGTTATTGTAGACGAAAACAAAACATAATACAGAATTGCAAAAGAAGGAAAATTCGAAATAAGCCATCGTAGTAATAAATAGAAGGCCATATCCTCCTCTTATGTATGGGGAGAGATGGAGTCTTGTGCGAGTAGTGGAACATTAATAATATTTGTAATAAGTATATACATTAAAATCTTAGATTATATAGAGTGTCTTCATACAAATGTTTCGAGATAAGCGGATCAACTTTTTCATACAATTTTGCGTGATAATTAGTTATGAGTGATTCCTTTATAACTTCTATATTAATTTTGTCTTACAAATTCTGCACCTTTTTAATGTGCAAAAATTCAATTTATTTATTAAATAATTAAATATAGATACGTTAAGATACAATGTTTGCGTATGTATATGAAATATTAATAAAAAAACAAGTCGACTAATTTCACAATTAGCTGACACAAAATTGGCCCGTTTTTGAGGCTCAATGCTCTATCTATGTATATAATCTAAGATTAAAATTGAATAAAACTATATACAGAGTGGAATCGAAATTATTAGAATCTTTTTAAGGAAGTATTCTGTTAGTGAAATTGAACATTTTCCCTAAGGAAACAGTTCGAAATGCGACAAAAATTTTGCACTTCTGTTGTAGTACATAGATCTGATACAGTTAAAGAGACTCAAAACTTTGACTGGTGTTACGCTAGATGGCTGTGCGGTTGTTAAGTATAAAGTTTGATTTCTATAACTAACTAGCTTTTATCCGTGACTTTGTCTGCACTAAAAGTGACCTATATTCTTATCTATCTGTTATGGAACATATATACTAAATTCACAATGATCAGTTAAGTTTTAACAATAAAATATAATAAATAAACTCATTTTCACATTCATAATATTAGTAAGGATGTTGAATTTGATAAATATATGTTTGGTCTATTTTTCAGTGTCATCAAAAATAAACCAAATAGGTAGGAATTCGAGATTGGCATCCCTGGCGTTGGGCTGGATGGCTGTGCGTGGCCGGGGCGGCGCGGCGGTGCGCCGGCCACGAGCCCGGGCCGCGCAGTAGCGCGCCAGTCGCCGCGCCGCGTGCCGCCTTCGCACCTTCACAACATGACACGCAACATCCACGCACAACTTTTCCGTACTTTTCCACGCGCGGACTCGTGATTTTCCCTCTCTGTTTGTGTTCGCGCGCCGGCTACATTGTACTCGGTTACAGTACCGTGATTGTGTGATGTGATTGGGCGTTTGTGTTTGTTGCTGTTGCGTTAGAATTTATTTAAGTAAGTATTTACTACTGATAATAGATTTAGAGATAAGGATTATTTTATATTTAAAAGCAGTATATTTAATAAATTATCACATAAATATATGGACACAAAGTTTGATGACATCATGTGAGGCACATTAAACCTGTGTATATTTAATATTAAGTGGGCTAGATATCGTATAAATAGAAAAAAAAAATATTTTGATGTTTACCTCACAATGTTAATTAAAATCGGTCGCTAATACAGATCTCATAACGTTCTATTAACGCAAGAGAACGAGCTTACAAAAGATAATGAACCACTCTGTCAACACTTAACAAAAGCGACGCAGGCAAGCATCACTTAGTTGTTGAATAAATTTGAAGAAAGCTCGCGACCACTACTATTTGTACTTCTTGATTTGAACTTAATCGGAAATATTTCACGTTGTCGTATACCGAGTGATTTTTTCGAGTGATATTCGAGTTACGTGCAGGTGGTAGTCGCTCTGGACGGGCATCGTCGCTTCCAGTAAACGGCAATATCCCGCCCTCGCGACGGAATTTTCAGTGTTATCACATAAATTCTTAACACATTACTGTGCTAATATAAATGCTAATTATTAAAAATACAACGTAAGCTTAAAATTCTTATAATTTGTGATATATTTATTGTATTTGTTTTTAATATCAATTATAATCAGATTATTTTTGTAAGTAATTATTCAAATAGTTAAGATGCTTTAGCTCTAGTATTGAATCTAGATATTGTACTGCATATGTTCTTTTACCATTTTTTATATAATGTAGGATAAAAGACCTACCTTGGAAAGCCAATTCGAATTAAGTAGAATTTATATACCTGCCATGTGATTCCGGCATAGAACAGACAATACCTTCTTTTTTCGAGGGTGTCGTAAATGGCGACTAAGGGAACTTAATAGTCGTGTAATGGGCAGTAGCATTCCCCTTTAAACATCATCACAGCCTAACTGCGGTTGCCAACCGCCTGTCAAGCGTGGTTACTTCTGTGCCAAAAACCTCCAATAGGGAAAAGCCTAGGTTCAGTAATAGACGGTTAACGGTTAATATGGTTATATGGTATACTGATACAGGCAAAGATACTCGTGAATGTATTATGCGGTAATGTTTGTATTATGCGGGGATCTAACCCACGACCAACGGAAGGGGAGGCAATCTCACCGACCATATCAGTTATTCAGCGGCTACTGGCCCAAAAAAAATTATTAATACAATGTTTTATATAGTAATGATTATTAATTAATTCTTTGGATTAAAAAATAAATGAAATTTTATATTTCAAGTTTGACGAATAATCAAGAAAAATAGAAGTAATAAAAGTAATAGAGAAATTATATATAAAATCTCATTTTACTAGAATTACTACTAATTTCGTACTATAAACAACTGAATAGTTAGTGTAGATACTAGAAGAAGACACGTATGTGTGAGCGTTGAATTTTTCAATTTGACTTTACTACGGCAATTTTCTTGTTATACGACGTCTTTGAACGGCAGTTGTTTAATAACTTCTTTGCCCGCAACTTTGTTTGCGTTTGACTTTCAGAGAACTCTTCATTTCTTATAATATATACTAACTATATTTACTATATTGACTGGTATTCCAAATTACAAATGATTTTGGCAAGTTATATTATATTCCACAAAAAAAAAATCGATAGACGTGAAAAAATTTGTCCCTATTCATTAACATAGGATGGTTATTAATATAAATGCAGTTAAATATAAAAACAATCAGTACATAGTTAGTGAAAGTATCATGTAACGTATACATAAAAACACTTAAAAACAGAAAAAAAACAGTAAAACACAAAATTTAAAATAATACCCGCTCCATTGTGAAGACTAACCGCAAGCACTTGTGTCTGAAATCGAGAGTACTCTTTTTAGAGTCTCCAATTGAGAACGACTAAAGTTTGTCCAATTTAACCCGTCTAAGATTGAAACTTGCGCGTTCACCGCAAAAAAAAATCATTTACTGTAGTTCTGCAATTCGAAAAATATCCATTGTTATCTCCAAATGTATTGGGATCCTCGGTGTCGGCATCTCTAGCACTGTAGAGTTCCGAGATCATCTAGAAGATAGGGTCAAGCTGGCATCCAAAAAGCTCGAGGTTACCAATAGAGCGAAACAGTACTTTACTCCGAGACAAAGATTATTGTTGTAAAAGTCGTAGGTCCGGCTCCTCATGGAGTACTGTTCTCATCTATGGGCCAGAGCACCTGGATGAAGCTGATGCTTGGTCCTCTTGACTCAGTTCAAAGATGGAGTATGAGAATTGTTGACTATTCCAAGCTTATAGGCGATATCAAGTCCTTAAGTCTAAGGCGAGACTTTGCCTCCCTTTGTGTGTTCTATTGCTTGTATAATAAATTGTGTTCTGAGAAATTGTTTGAAATGATGCCTATAACCACTTTTTATCATCGTACCGCTCGTCATCGACAGGGAATTCATTCTCACACGTTTGAACCTAAATGGTCACATACAGTGTGGTTAAAAAGAAATTTTCTCCTATTAACGCTTAGGTTGTGTAATAAGCTTCTTGCCGAGGTTTTCCCTAAAAATTACAGTATAGGGTTCTTAAAAAAGAGAATATTAAGGTTTCTTCAGCGTTGTCAACGCGCAAGTGACAACTCTAATATTGCAGGCGTCCATAAGTTACAATTACCGTTTACTATCAGATGAACTGTGTGCTTGTTTCTCTCATCTTTGCAAAAGTTAAAAATGACCCAAAGCTACCGATGCAGACTGTAGAGAAAGTTCGTAGAGCTCTTACTGTACCTAATCTAATTACAATAAACAGATCTAATTTCGACATTGAGAAGCTGATAAGTATTCTGTATGGTTACTGTTCACTAAAATAAACATTTTAGGTATTGCAATTGACTGGAACATGTTTAGGCCAAGATTGTACGAAGGGTCTGAAAAATAATGGTTGACGTATTGATAAACATAGGGTCGTGCTTGGTTATTGACCCCAGATCAAAATACCTGAAGGTCTGCAGCAGTTTAGAGGTATCAGTAATGAGCCACTCTCAAGGGTTAATTCTAGATAGTATTTAATAATCGTTAATGTTTAAATATTTAATATTTTTTATAAATCGTAATACACCTGTGTGGTCTCGGCATAGATTAGGCCACACCTTCCTTTCGCCTGGGTGTTGTAAGGGAGGGCGAAGGATGGGCAGCAGCGTCCCTCTTAAAACATCTCCAAAGCCTAACTGCGGTTTCTAATCCGTCTGCCAAACGTGGTAACTACTGAGAAAACCCCCTAAAGTGAGGCTTATGTTCAGTAATAGACTGTTAAAAGCCGAGACGATGACGGTGATGATAAATCGTAATGTTAAAATAGAAAGTAAAAAAAATTAATACCTATGCATAATTGGAGACTTAGAAATAACACTGAAAATAGAGTGCATTTGATCAAATTATACTCATTTCTAACCATCCCCAATGAAACTAACTTATCGAAATATTCTTACAGAAGTACTTACCTACGGCAATAATGAACTAACTCAAATTGACGTTGTGACTTACGATAATTGTTTCTTTTAATTTTAATTCAGGACGCATCGACAATTTAGGTTATTTTTAGATCTATATAAAATTAACTACGTGCGCTGTCTAGATAAATAGTGTCTCCACATTTAATTCTACAGCTATAGTGTAAAGAATTTTCTACAACAGAGCTGCAATATTGGTATATCAGCAATTAATTTATTAAATTTAACGGCTGAACCAATCGTCATGTTATTTGGTATGCACGTACTATTCGAAACGGAGAAGGGCATAGGTAAAGAATATATCTTCGTCACGAGGACGAAGTCGCGAGCAAGAACTACTTTACTACAATAATAGGAATGTGTGATTGAGACTTGTATTTATAAGTAGACTATGTCCGTAGATACTTTGAATATTCAAATAGAATCTGTCCTGTACTTTCTACATGATGATAGTGAAGAAACAAATATTAAAGCAAAACACTTATTTAAAAATTATTATATAAAAAATCTGACATATTTGTATTGTAGAATACTTAAGGGAGTTCAATCTACACTGAGCTTAAGGTCACGATATTGAATTTCAAATTTTCTAATATAATTAAAACCCCCAAATGCAGACAGGCACTGAATATTTTTTGTAGATTGTCGTTTATTGGTGAGTAAATGGTGTTTTTTATTTCACTGAATAGCTAGAGGGTTGTAAAAACTGTTGGCATTAATACTTTTATTAAAAAGGAAGAAACCAAGGTTATTCCAGCAATTGTTGTTCTACCAGTTATATGGTACATGCAATCTGACAGTTTACGTGGTAACAAATGGCCATCATTGTGAATTTGTATAAAATGTTGAGAGCCACATAAATCTAGGGATTGTTGCGGTTTGCCTCTTGTTATAAGATAATATATATCTTGACTTAGTTTATATTTGAATACACATTGTTGGGGAAGCTGGGTTAAATTACAAAGGTAAAATATATGATTATAAGTCAAGAAAATCCATTTAGTTCATAATTTATTTCACTCATATAATATGTTTTGTTAAGTAATCCTATTAATGGGGTGTTGACAGATTTCTTTTTAAAATATATACAGATATGTATATATTACAGACATATGATTATATTCTAATAAATTAGCTATTTTATATGCTGATTCATGCGAGCGATACTGTGGCTTATAACTAGTTTATTAATAAATGGTTAAATGATTCATCATTTCAGCCATTACCTATCCACTGCTGGACATAAGCCTTCCCCATAGACTGCCATAAAGAATTGTCCTGAGCCACCTGCATCCATTGACTGCAATGCATTTCAGGTCGTCACTCCATCTAGTGGGGGGTTGTCCTTCACTACGTTTGCCCGTACGCGGTCGCCACTCAAGAACCTTTTTCCCCATTGGTTGTCGGTTCTTCGAGCTATGTGACCAAAATGTGTGGTAAAACGATTGCCGCAGTGAAATTGTATACTACATATTTGCATCAGCAACG